CAACAAATTCCAGAAGTGTAATGAGCATAACTTTTTGATACAGGCGGTAGAGACTAGGGCTGTGCGAAGCTTTGGTCCCCAATTCGATTTGGTGGAGATTTGGCCCAATTCAGTGGCCAAATCTCTGAATCCGAACTGAATCAGAGGACCCTTTAATCTCTCCGAATCAAAATCGGAACGCTCCAAATTGATTTGGAGAGATTTGGAAAGATTTGGACATAGACACAGCTTTAAACGTGTTGTCTATATACCTCAACATAGCAGGGGCTTGAGTGCTGCGATGCTGGGGCGCATGGAGAGTCCCACAGGTGTGGAGGGCTCCCCAGCATGCTCAGCAGCAGACCCAGAAGTGGACCAGAAACACTTCTGGTCCACTTGCAGGTCTGCCAGGGAGTGTGCGGCACCCCCCCCAGCTCAACAACTGATGCCTCTTGGGTCAGGGGGAGAGGGGGGTGTCACCTGGGGTCCCCTTGCGGCCAATCACTGAGCTGGGGGGGGGCGGCACTTCCTGTGCGCTCCCCGGCAGACCCAGAAGTGGACCAGAAGTACTTCCAGTCTACTTCTGGGTTCACCGCTAAGCACAAGAAAGGTCCCCCATGCTCCTGTGGGATGCTCCATGCACCCCAGCATCTCAGTGATCACGAGCCGCGCCTGCTACCTCAAGGTATGTAGAAAAAACTTTTAAAGCTGTGCCTATGTCCAAATTGCTGATTCTCTGAATCAGCATTGAATCTTCAGATTTTATTTTGGCTGAATTGAATCAGGGACAGTGATCCAAATCAAGAAATCGAATCACTGTCCCCAATTTGGGCCAAATCCATATCCAAATCAAATAGGGGCCGCTTCACACAGCCCTAGTAGAGACCCTCTAGGGAGGAAGCCCTTTAACTCACTGCTCACAAACAAGGAGAATTTGGTAGAGAATGTGAAAGTGGAAGACAACTTGGGTGACAGCAACCAAAAAACGTTAAGAGTTCAAGATCCTAAAGGGAAGAAGTAAGGAAAGCACAGAGTAAGGACGCTGGACTTCAGGAAAGAAGACATTATCAAACTTAGAGAAATGGTGGGAGCAAGTCTGAGGGGTAAAGGAGTCCAGGAAAGCAGGATGTTCTTTAAACAGACCCTTTTACAGGCAAAGGAGCAAGCTATACCATTGCAACCGAAGTATTGCAATGTAACAGAAGGCTAGCTTGACTAGACAGAAAATTTCTTCAATGAGTGCAAACTCAACAGAATCCTATGGAAAGTGGAAACTTGGTCACAGTACTAAGAAAGAATATAAGAGAATCATTTGGACATTCAGAAAAAAAATTAGGAAGGCAAGGCATGATTTGAGATTCAATTGGCAAGGGGCATGAAAGGCAATAAAAAGGGGTTCTGCAAGTATGCCAAAAGAGGAAGACCAAAGAAACAAAAGGTCCCTTACAGAATGTATAAGGCAATCTAGTTCCAGATGATGTAGAGAAGGCTGAAGTATTTAGTGACTTTTTACTTTAGTCTTCACAAATAGGGGTAGCTACTAGATGAGGAGTGCAGTTGGCAGTAAAGAAAAGAAAGGAAACAGCCTAGATAGAATAATGGCAAAACAGGTTAGGATTTTTTTTTAAAAAGCTAGATGCCTATAAGTCAGGCATGGGATGCACCCTAGGGTACTGAAGGAATTGGCTGAGGTCATTTCTGAGGTATTGGCCATCCTCTTTGAGAACTCATCGAGGTCAGGTTGAGGTCCCGTATGATTGGAAAAGAGCAAATATAGTGCCCATCTTTAAGGGAAGAAAGAACATCTAGGGAATTACAAACCAGCCAGGCTGATCTCGATTTCTCGAAAGATCATGGAGCAGGAGTTCAAGGAATCTACTGTAAAGCACCGAGAGAAGAACAAGGTGATCAAGAACAGGCAGCATGGATTTACCAAGAGCAAGTCACACCTGACCAAGCTGATTTCCTTCTATAATAAGGAAAAGGGCTGTGTGGATGGAGGAAGAGCAGTGAATGTGATATACCTTGACTTTAGCAAGGCTTTTGACACCATCTCCCAAGACTTTCTCATGGAAATGCTAAGGAAATACAGCTCAGGAAATACAGATTAGATGAAAGTACTATATGGTGAATACATAACTGGCTGGAACATCCTACTTAATGTCTAGTTGGGAAAAGGTATTAAATGGGATTCCCCGGTGGTCTGTTCTAGGTTCAGTACTGTTTAACAATATTGTTAATGATTTGGATGAAAGACTGAATGCATACTTAGCAAATCTGCAGATGACACCAAGTTAAGTGGAACTGAAGACACTCTGGAGGACAGGGCTAGGATCTGGAATAACCTGGATAGACAGAGAATGATCCAAAAGCAATCAGATGAGATTCAACAACAAGTGCAAAGTCCTTGAGACAGAATAATTGCGTGTACAAATACAGACTGGGTAATGACTAGTGAGGCTGGAGTACTCTGCAGTACTGCAGAGGAAGACCTGGGGGTTAGACTGGATCATAAGCTGAATATAAGCCAACAGCGTGTTCTTGTTGCAAAAAAGCTAACAGCATACTGGGTTGTATCAAATAAGAGTGACTCTAGCAAATCAAGGGAAATGATTATTTGAGTATGATATCCAGTTTTGGACTCCACACTTCAAGAAGAATGTGGACAGACTGGAGAGTCCAGTGCAGAGCATCTAAAATGGGAGGTCTAGGAGGCACAACTTATGAGGGAAGGCTGAAAAAAACTAGGGTTTAGTTTGGAGAAGAGAAGACTGAGGTGGGATTTGGTAATGATCTTCAAATAACTGAAGGGTAAGTACAGACATGACAGAGATGCGCTCTGCAATTACCCTTAATTACAGAGCGGCTATAGGAAACAGGACTAAGAGCAGTGGCTTCAGTCCACAGCAGAGGAAGCGTGAAGATTCGGAGGAAATTTCTGAGTATGATGGCGGCCAAGCACTGGAACAAGCTATCTAGAAAAAAGTTGTGGAATCTCTACCCCTGGAAATTTCAAAAGCAGGTTGGTTGGACACTTGGCTGAAATGGTTTAGTCAGGGACAATCCTGCCTTGAGCAAGGGGCTGGACTAGATGACTTTGTGAGATCGCTTTCAGCTCTACTTTCCTATAATCCTAATACCTTTGCACTGCATATGGTTGTATACTATTTGATTACATTTTCCTTATGCTATGTGTTTAAGGCATGGGGGGGGGAGGGGGGCGCTGATCACATCATAGCACTCATGGACACATCTCACAGACTATTCCTGTAGAGGTTAATTTTGGTCTTGTACGCCACCTTTTCTAGTTTTGACTTGGAATGTTTAGGTGCTGCATATACAGTCTATTCATGCTTTAGTTAGCAGTGTTTTTACAGTCAATTTGCATTTCCTTCACTGCATTTGTTGCAATAAATAAATGAAGGAAAGATCAGCTTCTAATAACTCAAATTTGCTTTTTATTTCCTCTTCTCTTCCTTCCTTCTGACACAGGCCAACATCTGTTCTTCTACTGGACACAATTTATATAGTGACAATGTGGCATAATTTGAGGATTTCTAGCTGTTTGGCTTTTTCCCTTGGGTTCATTTGAAGTGAAATTTATTTTTGTTGCTGCATTCTTAAATTGCTATTGCAGAGTATAATTTGCTGCCCTAGTAAGGCAAGTAATCTAGGGCAGTAACAATATATATTTTTTTAAATTATTAAAGTTTGTAGAATCTCCTAGAAGACTAAGTTTGAAAGAGACTCCCTGAAGAACATTTTAAACACATTTCAAATGCATGCTGATGACAGGATCTGAACTTTCTGCTCCAAATAAAATAAACAGAAAGTTACATGAAAACTCTGCATAGTGTCATTTCATTAATTCTTTTTTTTCCCCTTTTTTCTTAACTATCCATCAACAGCTTCCAGTGCTTAACTCCACAGTGCCATATGCTTACCAGCAAGTGCAGGCCCCATTGTACCAGAAGGCACAGGGAATTCTCTTCTCCCAGCGCCGAAGTGTTACTGTTTGGCTTAGAGTCTGACATTTGACCAGAATAATTAGTAGCAATTTGACAAAAAGATGAACAGGTTTCAGGTTTCGCTTTTAGCTTTGAAAATACAGAAGCTAATATAAAGGCTCAAAAGTTCAGGCGCAAATGCTGTCAGTAAAGAAAGCTATCCTAAGAGCCATCCTAATACTAAAATTTCTTCCAAACTGGAGAAACCTGTTGCGGTTATGGAGCCTGACTGATTTCAGTGCAACTTCAACAGAGCTCTAAACATGTACAAGGGTCTTGTGATACTCAGACTGGGCTCTGCATTGGCTCCCCACCAACGCAGTGCCCAAGATACACAGAACAATATTAGCAGAAACAATGACCCCCTCAATTCACCCACTGACGTTAAAGCAACTGGTTTTGAGGCAGAGCGTATCCTAATCTCTTGCTGGTGATCGGTTTCGGTAAAATTACTTGCTAAGAAAAGCAACCCCAGAAATAGTAATTCCTTTCCAAGCAGAAATTAGGGGCAGGTAGCACCTTAGAGACTGGTTCAGAGAAGCATAAGCTTTCGAAAGCAGCAACCTACTCTGTCAGATGCCACCTTTGCAAGAAGTTTGCTAGTTTGAATGACTACCAATAATAGCTAATTTCAAGGTATAATTGATTAAGTTCAACATTTTTCTTTTCTTCTCCTCAAACCTTCAACCCATGAATTGACCATTTTGCTTAAATATTTCATTTCACTGTTTCCAATTCATTACCCACAACATTTGCAACCCTACTTTAACCCTTGGTCTTCCTCCTTTATGGCTTCCCTCACAAGAGCCGAAGCAACCCACCCTGCTTGCTTTTATATCAGCCAATTTGCTTTCCTTCTCAGCACTTCCCTTCTTCAAAGTTGTTTTGTGGATCATTGGTGGGGAAATTCAAAGATGAAAAATACCATGTAAGAGCTAAGTGAAATTATTAATAGCTACATATGTTGCAAGACAGTACTGCAGAGTAGGTGAGTTCCAAATTACAGTACAGTACCTTCTGTCATTTCCATGCCACTCGGGGGTTTACAGTGCCCAGCATGGCTCACTGCCCAAACTGGATACTGCTGGTTTAGTCCGCAATAAAGAGCCTGGATGAAGGTCCTGTAATAACCTGCCAATCCTGGGTTACCTAACAGAAGAAACACACAGATTTGCTCAGTGTTAACAATACAGCAATTGACACACTACAATACAGTTCCATATAAACATTTCATTTTTTTTCTCCTTATCCTACACTGACAAAGTATATTTTAATTATGTATAAGAATAATTCTTTGTGAAAAGCACACTGCTATCCTTACAAAAGGAATATACTTTTTTCACCAAAGGTCAAATTGGCAGCCAGCTGGCCCACTGGCTTCTATTAACTGTATTTGAAAATTATACCTAGAACTTATATAATAAATATCGAAATACAATAAAAGGAATCTGTTCAGAAGAATCCCAATGAGATTTTATGAAAAAATAGCCCAACAATTGCTGTTCATCTCACCAATACACACCACACAGGTTGTTACTCTAATCTCTGAAATTCTTTACCACTTTAAAAACTGAATTAAATCACATTGACAATTATAACATTTTTTATCACATCTACCACAGCAGCTCATTAGATTAAGCTAAATCCATTATGCACATAATGTTAAGTTTGGCAATTCCTAATTTTTTAGTACTTAATGTTGCAACCTTAGGCCATGTCCAGATAAGCACAGCCATGTGGCATGCGTCACCACAGACCTGTCTGTGGCACCACATACTGCTCATTCAGCTGCTCTCCATGCTGCAAGGGAGCAGTGCAGGTGGGATTTTTGACCCCTCGATATCCAAAGATAAACAAAAAACAACTTGTGTAAGAAAAAAGCAGAGCAGTGCATGTAGGGGCAATGCGCCAGGCTCTGGTTTTGAGCGGCACTAGCCAGAGCCACGCACTAGCTGCCGGCTAGGCTCTAAGCGGTGCGATTGTCACTGCTGCAGCCCCGGAAGGCCCCCAGAACCCCAGGTAAGGCTGCTGGGGCCAGCACAGTGCTGACCCCAGACTCCCCTATCCCACCCAGGGTAACCTGCCATGTTCTAGAGGGTGCATGGCACAAGCATTCCCCAGGGACAATTAGCAGTGGCACAGGGAACATAAAATAAGCACCCTACTCCATGTTTACCAATTCCTTTTTTTCAGGCTAAAGTCCCGCTTAGTTCTCACTCAGTGATTGAAGTAAGTGAAGATTTTAGAGCATGAACAAATTAAAAGGCACCAAGTCCATCACACCTGAGATGTATCAGTTACTCTTCCTTCATTTGCCTTTAAAGTACTCTCGGTTCAGATGCAAGCAACAGAACAAGGGCAAAATTTGTCCCAGTTAAACTACATAGTGCCATTAGAACCCTAGTAGTGTGGATGCAAAGATAACACTATAAAAAGGTACAAGAAAGGGAGTAAAGCTGTACAGATATGCACGTCCTTTAAAACATTTCAAAAGAGTGCCCCAAGAAGTGCCCCAAAATACTACCTCTTGAAATGAGGTACTGTTTTCAAGCTCTTCACTTATTGTTATGTCTGCAAAGGGATGGGGGACTTAGGTCCTCCAGAATCCCACAATGCTCCACTCATCTTCCCTCCCTCCTAACTGACAGCCTGCCAAACTGTCCAGCCACTCTAGGTCTGCTCCTGGGACCCAGCCACTCTGGCACTCGGGGCACTACTGCTTCCAGGGTGCTGCCAGCTCCTCACTAAGACTTAGCACTGCTGTTACAGACCCTCATGTCCTCCCCCATGGCAGACAACTACTGACACCTGCCACCCTCCCCACCACCTCTGTCATCACCAGTGCCAGGCTCTCCAGCTCCCAAATCCTCTGTCTCTCTGGTAAGAGGCATGCTCCACTCACACTCCATCCCCTTTAGGGGGAAACAAGGAGCAAAGTCGCAGGTCACTGCAACCTCTTGTCATGCCCCCTGGCTGGACAGCTGCAGCTGAATGCTGTACTTACATCCCATCGCTGAAACGATTCCTTTGTAAAACATTTCCAGGCCTGTTTACACTTGGAAACATTTTAAATGTTACTTCTGTCCCTACCTGAAGTAGGCATCATAAAACCACTTGATGCCAATGAGCCTTTGGGTAAACACAAGCACAGTACCTGAACCAGACCAAGAATGTTACCGACTGGGAACCAGTTTGCAATCTTCTCGGTTTAAAAGTATCCACACATGCACTGCCATGGGTTTTAAGGAGAACAGTCATCTTTTGATTCATCTTTAAACACTGCAACGCCTAAATTGCCACCAAGGGGTGGCAGTGAACACCCAGCCCAGCATGACTCCCAGTGGTGAGTACCCCAGTTTCCTCGGTATACCCCAAGCAGGACAGGAAGACCCTAAATGGCTGGGCACCAAGGGAGAGGAAGACATCAACTGCCTGCAAGGGTAATTTTCTGATCTTCCTTCTCACTAACATGGAGTTCAATTAAGAGCAAATGATTTCAATGCAGCTCATTCTTGCATGCTACCAAAACCTGTGTGGTGGTATCCTGACTGGGTGTCCCCAGGGGTATAGGGGGGAGGGGAGGGGAGAGAATTGGCTTGACCCTTGGTTCTGTATTTCTGGGAGCTAGGTGCTCTGGAGCTTCCAGAGCTTCCCTGGCCTTTAAAGACCACTTTCTCCCAGGCCATCCATCAGCTTACTTCAATTTTCTGGTACCTGACTCCTATCACAGGCTGATTTGGGTGTGAAGTGGTGGCTAGCTAGATGGGGGGGGGGTCTCCCTGAACCCTAAGGGAAGGAGGTTGAGGTTAGATGTTCCAGATGCTCCTTAGAGCAGCCCAAGGTCTCTGGCTCAGGCTAAGGTCTTAAGAAGACTCTTTCTAGGGGTGGCCAGGTACGGGAAGGTGCCTGGACCACTGCTTTTGGCTTCCTAGGGAGCTGGGTATTTTGGGGGCTGCCTATGGTCTCCATGGCATTTAAACTGCATTTCTCCTCAAGCTGCTTATCTGTTTCATTCCATTTGCGGCAACCAAGCAGGTACTGATGCATCCCAGACTGATCTGGGGTGGGGGGAGGGTGGCTAAATGGGTAAAGGGAGCATCCCGGTTTCTGGGGCCCCAAGGTTGTGGGTGCTCTGGGTAGTGCCCAAGGTCTCTGCGTCAATTGTCACAAAAGGATGACACTGACCAGTGGTTTTGGGGAAAATACTGTTTAAAAGTTGCCTCTACCCATCTAGCCACACAGCCCCGGCCACAATTGTATTTATTAGTCTGGGATGCCTCAGAGCTTGGTAAACTGCTAATAATGCAATGAAACTGCCAAGCAGCTAAGGAGAAGGTATACTATTTAAAGGCCACAGAGACACCAGGCAACCCTCTCCTCCACAGAGCACCTAGTGCCTTGGGAATCCCAAAGCAGGAATATCACCCTCTTCATACCTGACCACCCCCATTTAGCCCAAATCAGCCTGGGCAGCATGGACTGGGTCAAGTACAGACAATATAGGTTGGAGCTGTTGTTTTTTGGCTGCATAACAGAATAGCTAGTTGCCATGCGGGGGTTGGAAGAAGGGATAGGGTGAGCAGCAGGTGTTATATGGTAGTCTTGGAGGTCCAGCCAGACACTAGTCATAGAAAGGCTGCTATTTGCACGTTACACTGAACAGGTTTCATAGAATCATAGAAGCAGGGTCGGAAGGGACCTTGTAGATCTTCAAGTCCGACCCCCCGCCTGGGCGGGAGAAAAAAACCCCCAAAAAAACTGGACTCAAATGAGTCCAGCCAGGTAGGCATCAAGCCTCTTCTTAAAGACCCCCAGGGTAGGAGCCAGCACCACTTCCCTTGGAAGTTGGTTCCAGATCCTAGCCGCCCTGACTGTGAAGTAGTTCTTGCGGATGTCTAATCTAAACCTACTCTCCAATAATTTGTGTCCATTATTCCTTGTTATGCCAGGGGCGCTAGGGGAAACAGTGTCTCCCCCAAACCCTTCTGGTCCCCCCTAGTGAGTTTATAGACGGTCACCAGGTCCCCCCTCAGCCTTCTCTTGTGGAAGCTGAACAGGTTTAGGTCCCGCAGTCTTTCAATGTAGGGCCTGCCCTGTTGTCCCTGGATCATGCAGGTGGCCCTCCTCTGGACCCTTTCAATGTTGTCCACATCCCTCCTGAAATGGGGCGCAGAGAACTGGACGCAGTACTCCAGCTGTGGCCTGACCAACGTCGCATAGAGGGGGAGGATCACCTCCCTGGCTCTACTTGAGATGCACCTGTGGATGCACGACAAGGTCCGGTTAGCCCTGCCAACTGTGACCTCGCATTGTCGGCCCATGTTCATCCTGGAGTCGATAACAGGTTTGAGGAGGACCAGTTCAGAATAACAGCCGATTATCCAACTATACTCCTGAAACAGTCCAGGAGATTTAAACTATTTTAAATTGGCTGACTTGGTGGGACGCTTGTGCTTTAAACCACATTTAAAACGGTATACAGTGTGTGTTATGTCCACCTTAACTCTGTTCTCATCAGGAGTTGAGTTAGGACTACTCAGAAAGTACAGTAGTCTCCAGAAAGGTGCTCCCTAATAAATACGTTGAATGGGCTTCTTTCTTTGTGCATGGCTTGGGCTCTGCTTGATTATTTTTGAGGCTTAATGGTCAATTCTAATCTTAAAATCTAGATGCATTGTTATTAACTGTCCTGATTTAAAAAGTGGTGTAGTCTTCTTGTAGTTGTGATGGCCCAGAAAAAATACAAGAAGCAAGGGGTTTCTTGCCATCTTTTACAGGACCAGTTGGGAAAGTTGTTAGACAAGCTTTTGGGCAAAAAATATTTAGGTCTTGGGAAAAAGAAAATATGGCCTAAACTAAAAACCAGATGGAACATTAACTTTGTGTAACTTCATTTTGTAAATAAAAATGGTTACTTGAAAAATGAGAAGGCAGTAAACCTGAAGAGCACAGAGAAGTTTAAATGAATTCATTTATGTAATGAATGGCACTACTGATCAATGCTGTTCATTGAGACTGGTTAAAAAAAAATGACGATGATATTTGTCACCAGGAATTGTGAGAAAAATAAGAATTTCTCATTCAAAAGGCGTTTGGATGCATATCTTGCTGGGATCACTTGACTCCAGCAGACTTCCTGCTTGTAGGAG